TGGGAGTTGAAGTCCACTCATCTTAAAGTGGCCAAGTTTGGACAACACTGATCTAAGGGAATGAAAGAGTTGCAGCTGGAGAAAGCTCTTCTGGTTTTCTCTGAGAACTTTTCTAAAATATCTTCTGGGGAATTTTGCCACGCAGCAATAAACAGCCTGCAATGAACTGTAATCAGTCAAATTAGAAATCATGTGTATTAAAATTTCAAAATCCTGCAGAAAGTAGGACTATTTGTTCAAATGAAGATACCCCTCTGGCTACATTTACAAAATGTTGATAGTCGGAAGAAGTTTACCCTTAGCACAATGAAAAGAAAGCAGGCCATTTACTATAGTTTATCTCGTTACGCTCAATAATTTTGATCCACATGTAGCAATTTCAATCTTTTGCTGTTTATGGGCATTTCTGCACTGCAGCCTTCAGCTGCTTTACTCCCATGTGTAAACTGGCTGCAAATTCAGCTGGCCATAAAAATCCAAATTTCAGCTTCTTCTTCCACTTTGTCCATGTTGGGGTTTGTTAAATGTTAATTCAAAAAACTGAGGAGGAAAGAGGATTCATTCCTACCTCTGAAGAACCATGAGGAGAAGAGAAGGAAATGAGGGAAACTGGAAAAAAGGTGGGCTCCAAGCCCCTCCCACACGAAGCAGCAAAGCTGGGCTGCAGCGAAGCCGCCCCTCCCTTTGTGCTCGCGTGAGATAGGCTTGGTTGAAACCCCATATTTTCCAACAGTCCACAGTGGTGGCTTGATGCTCTGCCTGGACAATGCTTACCAAGATCCCAGTTGGGGGATTTCCCTGCTTCTTTACCCCTCTTTGGCCAGGGAAACAGAGAAAAAAGAAAGCACTAATTGTTTTACCATTTTTCCTATCACTTGGAAAAGTCCATTTTGAAATGTATTAATTTCACCTGGAGATAGACAGACAGACAGACAGAGGAATAAATATCCATAGTTGCTGTGTTCTATCAATGTACTTTTAACAAAGAAAAGGAAAAAGGCCTGCTGTTTCACTGGTCTATTAATGAGCTTGTTATAACAAAAGTCCCGCTTTCTACTATTCCAGTGCTGAACTTGTTAAAAAAAATGGCAGTGGAAGGCAGTGCCCAGTGAGAAAGGGGCATTTCCACCACAATCTGCAATAGTCAATTGGAGTAGAGGGGTTTACTTACAAGGAACTGAAGGGAAACATGCAAGTCAGGCAACATAACCTGAGCTAGTGCAAAACAGGTATCAGTACCTTTAAAGCAGACTCCAAAAACATGGGGGGTTTGTTACCTGCTGGCTAGGGGTGGGTTAAGAATGTTGTCCTGCATTCCTGCCCTTTTGAAATGGTGGGTGGCTAGTGCTCATGCTGGGATAAGCTGGAATTGCAGATATGCATCTCTGTTTTCTCTTGAGAATGCCAGCAAGATGCCAGAAGCTGGATCCTGAAAAATTGCATTCAGGCAATCCACAGGGAACAGTAAGTGACTTCCCTTCCAGGAGAGAGGGGTTGACCACTCTTTGAACAACAGTTAGTCTTAAAGATGTTCAAGAAATGTAACCATCTATGAGAGTTTGCTATATAGTTTGCTATATAGTCAATGCTATTTATAGTAGCTCCTGGCCATGGAAATTTCTCCAGACAGTCCCCAATGATGGCTCCATTTATAATGTTTATATCTAAATGATTGAAAGTTTCAGCCAAAGTGCTGCAATCCTAAGTCCTTTGAGTTTTAGTGGGAAAGTCACTCTAATGATCCTGAAACCTATTTGCAAAGCTTCTGCCCACTGGTTCTTGTCCCACCTCAGGCATTATGGAGAATAAATCCACATCCTCTTCCTTGGGATATCCCTTCAAGGACTGGAAGACTGCTATCATCTCTCCCCTTAGTCTCCTCTTCTTTAGGCTAAACATATCCAGTTTTTTAAAACAATTCTTCATAAGATTCTTCATAATTTTTTTCCTCCAAGCTCCTCACCGTCTTTGTTGCTCTTCTCTGAATTCATTCTACTTCCTCAGGATCTTTCTTGTATTGTGGTGGCCAAAACTAGACATAGTATTCCAGGTGTGGTCTGACTAGTGCAGTATAGAGTGGAGGTATCACTTCCTGTGATCTTGACACTAAATCTCTGTTGATGCAGCCCAAGACTGCATTAGTTTTCTTGGCAGCTGCAGTACATTGCTGGCTCATGCTTAATCTGTGGTCTGTCAAGACACCCAGATCATTCTCACAAGTACAGGCACCACCTATCTTGTAGCTCTGCTTTTGGTTTATTCTATCTAAGTGCAGAACCCTACATTTCTTGTAACTGAACTCCCTTTTGTGCATAGAGCCTAATGTTCAGAATCCTTTTGAACTCTGAGGCTGTCTTCTGAGGTGTTAGTGATCTTGCTCCCCACCTTCCCAGTTTTGTGTAATCTGCAAATTTGGTGAGCATCCCTTCTATCCCCTTATCTAAGACTTTTATGAAAATGTTGAAGAGGACTTGCCCCAGGATAAAACCTTGAGGTACTTCACTGCATACTTCCCTCCATGTAGACATCAATCCATTAAGGACCATATGTTGGGTACAGTCAGATCTTCCTATCATAGGGGGTTTCAAAGGAAAAGAGCATGATGTACTTCCAGTCTGTTGGAATATATACTGAACCATCTCCTCCCTACTCAAAAATAGTCAACTGTATGTTATGGCTGCTTTTATTGACTCTCATTAAAGATTAGTTTGTAGCATCATCCTTTTCTCTCAAAAGTCTGTTGCGTAGTTAGTTCCAGCTGAGTGGAACCCTGACATACCAATATGAGGCTGGCATCAAAGCCCAAGGCGGAAGTGCCCTTTATGATGGATTTATATTTCAAAATCTGCACAAAGATTCATATGTGTTATTTTAAAAAGGTTTGCAGATGATTATAAATGTTGCTGCTAATAATAGCCCATTATACAATGATTTATCTTGTCCACGAGAGCCCCTATACCTATACCTGATGAACATTAGAGGAAATGTTTCTAGCAATCTTTTGCCTGCTGTTATTCCACTGGGGATCACTCCGAACAATACATGAGCATTAACTTGTAGACCTGTGTGAAACCTCAAAAGGCCACTTAGCTTCACTTGAGCTTTTGACGAAATTCCCCTCGGAGAGTTCCCTTCCAAAGGGCAGCAGAGCTGACCTTCTGGGCATTGGGATGAAGTCCCAGCACTGCACGACAACGGACTCTGATGCACAGAAACGGAGGACTGAACCTTAAAGCAACTGCTGGCCCTGAAGTGAAGCAACGTGATGCCACTCGGCTCCAGCAGTCACGTTTAAGATGATTCTGCAAAGCAATCACACTTGTACCACTAATTAACTCATAAGTGAAAATCCCAAGTACACGTTTAACATCTCTTGATGTGATGCTAACACTGAATTCTGCAACCCTTTGCCTTCTCACCCAGTCTTGGTATCAGTAACTCCAAATTTAGTTTTTTCAACATTATTTTTCACATTAGTCTCATTCATTGCCTATTTAATTTGTTATTTTCAATATCAGTTTCCAGTACTTCCTTGTGAAATGGCTCTGTGCCTTTCCTATGTCTTCCCATTTTTATTTTGTTTTTAACTAATGCTGCTGCTTGCATGTTTCTCACTTCTTTTAATTATTGTAAATGTTTCTGTTTTTTCCTTTTACAGTCTATGGCCATTTACTAAATAAATGAATACGCAGCATAAAAAAGATGTGTTCATTTTGTATATTTACAGCTTCAATCCAACCTAACATGGGTGCCATAATACCAAACATTATTTTTATTAAATACTTCTAGTTCTTCACATTATTTTTCATAACAAAATATTTTTATTGCTTTGAGGGATCTGAGCAAACAACACATTATTATTGTTTCTTGAGTGGCGTCCTTGCTCTAAAAAAATGAGGGCATAGATCTACTCATTCCCAAGAAGCTTCCAAATGATGTTGCAGCCAAAGGGAGGTGGGATTTGAATGAGAGTTAGTTTACTTCTTAGTTTTAGTAGAATAAATGTGCTGGGACGGAGGCAGGGATAGAAGGGGGAGAATACAGACTGATCAGAAATATTCAGCCTAAAATATTTCAGAGCTGTGGGTCTGGTTGTGTAACATTACAGAAATATCTGAGCTGCTAGAGGAACCATATCTACGGTAAAACAGCGTAACAGTTTCTTACCTCAGCTTCCTTAAGTTTCCCACAGAAATCAGTCCTTTAAATAAGAGGTCCACATATTTTTGCACCACCCTCTCGTCACTAAAGGGAGAAAAAAGACATTTCTTTCTCTCAGATTTTTTACTTCTGTATTTCTAGTTCCTTTTTTAAAAAATAAAATAAAATAGCATTGAGGACTACAAACTTGTATATCAATCATACATTATTTTACTCATATTGTAGTATAGGAAATTGGTAGTAGCAACAAGGTACTTTTTAAATGACATTTTTTCCAGAGCATGGATTGAAGAAATTAGTATTTGTGCATAGGCATTGTAGATATGAAGAAAAAGAATAATCAGAGAGACGATATTAAAAAAAAAACACCTAAACGCTCCATTTTAGAATTGTGAATGAATTCATAAACTTCAGACACCCAAAAAACAAAGAGACATATACGTATATACTGTATATTCAGAGGCTAATTTATGAACACTTGTTATTACCACTTCAAAAAGCCTTTAACCACAACAAAATAATGCTTTCATGCATATATATGATTACAAGTAAGAAACGGAAAACTGGAAATTTTGTTTTATTCTACTACAGGGAAAAATATTGAAGTTATAGCTCATAGACACCCAAAATGAGTTTAAAAGCAAAAAGAACAATTGGACAGTCATAAAGCATAAGATGATATGCCGCAAAAGTAAATATTGCAGTTATTGTTATTAACAAATGTAATATTCCCTACTCCCTTCTGGTCTAGAAAAGGGCTACTGGTCTCTCTCCCCAGTTTTATTTTGTTCTGAAACAGAGAAAATCCCCCCCTCCCCCGATTTCAGTGTCCTGCCAAAAGGGAGAATTTCCATTCCTTTTTCAACCCATTCCTCTTATTCAACAGAGATTAAAATGGAGGTAGTTTTTGAGTCAAATTTCTCTCATACAACTGCATAGTCAATCATTTTTTAAAGGGCCTTGGTTTAAGATAGGAGTCTAAGGTGCTTCCAGTTACTATAAGAGCATCATCTTCTGTTTTCCGCCATTTAAATTGGAAAGGCTCATGTGTAATTTTGGCTTTAGAAGTCAGGAATATGCAGGATACAAGTTTATTTCAGGTCAAACAGATAAACAAGCTCGCTTATGCAATAACACTGAGTTCACAATTCATGTCCATTAAATTAGACCTTTTCTATTCTAATTACTTTACATGTTCAGGCATCCTTTTTTGATATTTGTCAGAGGAGTTCCCTTTACCCAAACCACCATGACTTACCACAGCAGTCAATGTGTCAAGATGTCTGGAGTATTTTAACTGTTCTACCACCAAGTCTCATCTAATCACTCTTCGCTGATTGTGACTCCAAGGCACACATGTACAAAATTGCATAGTGGAAGAGCAGATATTTGACATGTCCTGATTGCATTTTCAGAAATGACATGATGAAATGTCCAAAGCCTTTCTTAGCTTCTAAGCTTGTAAGCACCCAATTCCCTGCTGAACTGCCTGTGCAGCTAGAGAATGCCTGTTGGGGGTCAGGAGGCCTTTGAAGTTGGAGTAAGCACCTCAAGGTGTGGCACTTTGATGTAAGTTTGGGGAGAAAATACTAGTCTTTCTCCAGAAACAGGTTATCATTCCAGTAATAGACATGTGCTTCATATCCAAGGGACATCTGATGATTCTACACTCAGTTGTTTCTTTTCCCCAATCTACAGAAAGAAATGCCAACAGCGCAAGAAATTTGGGGTGGGAGAAAAGAGGAATATGTAAAAATCACTGGTAGAAGAAGGTACATTATTGCTAACTGAATTTCCAGTAGAGGAACACTGCAGATGAGCTTTGCTATGACCATGTAAGGTAGGACTTTCAAAGGACAGTCAGTGAGAAAGTATTTAGAAAATAAAAAGTTTGTTAATGTTAGATCGTCAACTTTTCTGTTATGCCTACCTTTTATAAAACTTTATAACTAGGTTTTGAGTATATATTATTGCCAATCCATGGATTTCCTTATGACTGAGACTGTTCTTTATTCATTCTACCTTTTCACCAAAATGGTGCTCCAAGCTACTAACAAAAGTAGCCAATTAAAACTGCATTAATAACATCTAAAATCATAACTAAATAATGCAAAAGCCCTGACTGACGAGGAAGGATTTTCTGGAGAATGGCAGGTAAGGCTGAAGTGCAATTTCCAAGGGACGGTATTCCATAGCTTGGGAGCAGCCTGGGACATAAATAGGGATCTCTGAGCACCGAGGCAAATGTCTCAGAGGGCTGCTGCAATGATGTTGATCCTCCCCCCACCCCCCGCCTCCCCAGGCTGCAGCACTTGAGAGCAGGTGGGAGAAAGGGAGGAGGAAGGTTATATAGCTGCTGGTTCCACTTTGCTGCCACAGAGGAGGGTCTGAACTCCACCATGTGCTCACAAGAAGAGGAAGAAGTACCCAACAGTGAGTGCTGGGGAAGCTGCTAAGGCCTCCACAGGCAATCTTTCATCCACATGGTCTAGCACCATCTTGCTCCACCTCGAGTGATCCAACTGATTAGAGGAGAAAGAGGAGGTTGGCAGTGGTGGCAGTAATGCCACAACAACAGCAGCCATGATGCTACTCCCTCCTTTCCTCCCTCCCTCCTTCTGTTCTGCTGCTTCTTTACTAAGACCACTGCTGCCGTTGTTTCAAGTTGGAGGATGGAGCGAACACAAGGCAAGAGAGATCCTGGGCTCTCATGACTCCAGGTCTGAAGGTAGCCACTTCCTCTGCCTTCACTATTTGCAGCACAGGAAAAGACCCTCTTCTATGTGAAACACAAGGCTTCAAATACAGGAGCAGCTTAAACAACCTGATTATAATGCCTGAACAAGTTTATACTGAAATAGGACCAGAATAGTTCAAGGATTGCCTAAGCAGTTGAGTGCTTTCACATTTAAAGCATCTACAGCATATATTCACCAGTGTTTTGGCCCATCTTCTCCTTGTATCAGACATTGGGTTCCATGCATACAGTAGGCCTGTGATGGCATTTTATGTTATTGTCCTGCTAGGAACAATCCTGCTGATACGTTCCTAAGCATCTTTCACTTCAGGCCCTACTACAGACACTGCAGAGACAAATTTGTTCTCACATCTAATGCCATCTCCAAGGCTACGATCCTAAAGCAGACACCACACATCCCAGGCACTGATACCCTCCAGCAAGTGGTAAGCATAATCTAGCAGGGAAAAAGGGCTGAATTTCTCCAAGGTGTGAATGCCATTTCCTTGCAGAGCCTTCCTCCTTTTCCAGAACTTTTGTAACATCAGACAAGACCTGACTACAACCGGTGCAAATCTTCTAGTTTCAGGAGCTAGGCTTTTTATACCTCATTGTTACTTTAGCATATAAAGGACATTAAAGTGTTGTGAAAATTGACTCTTATGGAAAAAGCTCCTTATAGAAAAGATCTGGTTCCAGATGATGGATTGAGAAGTCAACACATTTATCAGAACTGGTCTATTTCGTCAGTCAGAACTGTCAAATTACACAGTGCCACCTCTTCAGATGACCATTTAGCTTCTTATCCCAGCAAGGAGTTAGCCCATTCGCCCTTCAGATTAATACTTTATTGTTGTCATCAGTGTTCAGTCATTCAACTGAACAATGTCACTTCAGCTAAAAATGTTATCTCCCATCACAACGCTACACCTCTTCAGCCTGTGTCATACCTGAAACAGTCAAAGAGAACGATGGACCATCTTTCAATGGCATTCAACGTCTCACAATTTGCTAGTCATTTAGGTTTTATCAAAAAGTAGCAACACTTTCTGAGTAATCACTATCTGAGAAAGTAGCCAAAATGGTCAGGAAAGCAGAAGGATAATGATTCCGCTAATCATTGTAAATGAGGATCTCTACTCTAAAAACTACCTTGCAAGCCAGCACACTGTTTATCCTCATCTCAGCAACAAGGGGATACTTATAATATTCTGACACCCTCAGGATACAATACTGGTGTAAGGAGAAAATACTATTTTAAGCCCTGAATAGCTAAGGATGACTAGAGCCTGTCTCCCACATGGGCTGCAGATGAGATGAGCACAACATTATTGGGACACAGCAGAAAAAACAGGTTGCCAGGGCAGGTTTACACCATGATTAGATGCAAATGTGAGCTGCCCAGAGTTGCCATACAAATCTTTAAAACAAATAAACAAGCAAAATAAAATAAAATAAGTGGGAGAGGGAAAAGTCCCCAGAGGAAGTAACCGTGGCAATGGCAGCAAGGGGCTCAGGAGCTTATACAGGTGGTTTTATTCCTGGAAAACCACTTTGATGACACTGCAGAGCCTCACTCTTCTCCAGTCTTGGAAGGAATGCTATTGAGGAGAAGAGAGAGAGAGAGAGAGAGGCAATTCAAGCTAGAATAGTATCAATCATTGGGAAAAACCCACAAAGCTAGGAGTGGTAAGAAGGATCCAAGAAGTAGGTACACATAAGTAAGCTGGGAGTACATAGATGCTCAGGGGCCATGTTAATAATCTCCCTATGAGGGCGAGGCAGACTAATATCAGCTAATCTTCAGGATGGGAAGAGGGTTTCCCCAAAGTCTGTGATTCTTCAGAAATCCTTCTGAAAGCAGAACAGTGACTTTTCTATTCTTTACTCAGGATGGAAATCAAGTCCTCTCACAATCCTGGCAGGAGCAAAATTGGTTATTTCAATCCTACCAAATCCTTAGCAAGTCCTGGTCAATCCTGATCAAGACAGGAAGTAGCAAGAGAGCCAAAGAGACACTTGATCCTTGCAATTAGATTGCCCCAGTGCCAGTATGGGCCACAAACATTTCCTGAGGCCAAGAACACCCATTATCCTCTGCTCATGCCCAGCCCCCCCAGGAAGGGAACTTCTGCCAGTTTAATCCTGCTCTGCATAAAAAGCAGGGTTTTCTGGATGTCCTGGATCAAGCAGTCCTCTCCAGGTTACCTGCTGTATAAACTGCATTGCAGGCAACCCTCTCCCCTCTAGCTGGCTACTATGCACCATGACAGGTGCACAGACAGTCCACAGCCATTTCATCCTGAGCTGCTGGACCAGTGAAGTGCTGGAACTGTTTTTGTTTGCACAAGTTCATTGGTAGATTAGTAAAAAACTGGGTTTCTTTAACAAGCTCAGGGAAGGAATGGTACAACTATGGGCCTTTCTTTGTCCTTTTCTCTGTTTTTTAGTCAAGTGAAATCGACAAGAGCATTTCCAGTTTTTCCTTTTAGACCATGTGACAGGACCATGAGAAAATGGTGGTGCCTCCTTCCTTTCATTTTATTAATGATTCACCTGTGGACAGATCACGTGGGAAGGTGTCAGATATGAGAGGGATTTCAATGAAGGGAAGCTCACACAAAAGTCTATGCGTGGAAACCCCTGGGAATGAAAGCAATTTGGTGCTTGCTTCACAGCCATGAGTGGGAGGGGTAAAGAAGAAGGGAAATCCACCAACCAGGGCTGTGGTGAGTGTGGTCTGGAAAAAACAGCAGGCCATCCCCTGGCAACAGGTTGAAATCTGGAAAAGGATTGCTTAAAATGGCTTTACTTCCAGCTGATTATGAATGGGAGTTGCCCAACTTAAAGCTGGAAAAGCCCTCGGCTAGCGGCAGGGTCATAAACTGAATGGAATGCCCAACAGGCTTTACAAATGTTGAAAGATACTTACCAATATTTAAATTGTTTCACAGGAGATTTGAAATATAAAAAATCAGGTCTATCAACTTCAAGAACCTTCAAGCTGTTGCAGTGTTGTATGCAATATGCCAGGATGATAAAATCCCAGACCGACTGACACACAAAATTTAATAAAATCACATCTTCCAAAGAGTTTTTTAAAAAACTGTCATCTTGTAATTCATAAAAAAAATTGAAAACTTCATTCCACAAAGGGGAATTGCTCTTCAATTTTTTGCAGATAGTTTTCACACAGTCTAATAAGAATTCTTTATTCTTAGGAGGAATTTTCCATCCAAATTCTTGTTTTAACTGTGTCATTCTTTTTTCTTCACTTAAAAAACCAAAGAGGAAGCGAACTGTCATTGTTAAATCAAGCCTGGAAGATAGAGACTGTTCTAATAGGGTCTGCAAATTTTTACTGAGATTTTCAGAAGGCTGCTCCTCTCCTTCTTCTAGAACATAAAACAAAGCAGCAAAAAACTCCTGGAAGCTTAAGTGAATGAAGCTGTAGGTTTGAATACAATCAATGTCCCTTTTGAAGATGCTCTGATTCAGAAAGAGAGGGAGGGAGTCTTCCTCATCTTAACTGTGCTTCTTGACTTCTTCTTCCATGAACAGTATTTCCTGTTTCCAGAGTCCTTCTGCAGCCAAAGAGCACAACCCTTTCACGTTTATTTGGAAATCCTGGTTGGATGCTTTATGGTGCAACTTTAACAAACTGGAGAGATACAGCATATAGACTGCAGTGAGGGTGTATGGCATCCTCTGGAGATCCTGGCCTCTCTCCATCTCTTGTTTCATCACTGTGCAGATAATCCAGCTCACAAGGGGAATCACACACATGCTGAAAAGGGTATCATGTTGTCTAATCAATCTGAAAGCCTGAAATGCATGGTCTTCCTTTTCAAAAAATCTATTGAAATATTCTTGCCTCTCCTTTAGAGAAAACCCCAATATCTCAAAATAACGTGGGTGT